GAACACCTAATTTTCGACAAGGGAGCTAAAGGTATACAATGGAAGAAGGAAAGCATCTTTAACAAATGGTGCTGGCATAACTGGATGTCAACCTGTAAAAAAATGAAAGTAGATCCATATCTATCACCATGCACAAAAATCAAGTCCAAATGGATTAAAGACATCAACATTAATCTGTCCACTTTGAACCTGATAGAAGAGAAAGTGGGAAGTAGTCTACAAGATTTAGGCACAGGAGGCCTCTTCCTAAGTAGGACCCCAGCAGCACAGACAATAAGAGAAACAATGAATAAATGGGATCTACTGAAACTGAGAAGCTTCTGTAAAGCAAAGGACACTGTCAGTAGGACAAAAAGGCTGCCTTCTGACTGGGAGAAGATCTTCACCAACTACTCATCAGACAAAGGTATGATCTCCAAAATATACAAAGAACTCAAGAAACTAGGCACTAAAACTCTAATTAACCCAATTAAAAAATGGGGTACTGAACTTAACAGAGAATTCACAACAGATGAACTTCGAATGGCCAGAAGACACTTAAGGTCATGCTCAACCTCCCTAGCGATCAGGGAAATGCAAATCAAAACCACTTTGAGATACCATCTTACACCTGTCAGAATAGCTAAAGTCAAAAACACCAACGATAGCCTATGCTGGAGAGGATGTGGGGTGAGGGGAACACTCATCCATTGTTGGTGGGAATGCAAACTCGTGCAGCCACTGTGGAAATCAGTGTGGCGGTTTCTCAGGAAACTGGGAGTCAACCTCCCTCAGGACCCAGCAATTCCACTCTTGGGAATATACCCTAAAGATTCCCGATCATACTACAAAAGCATTTGTTCTACTATGTTCATAGCAGCACTATTTGTAATAGCCAGAACCTGGAAACAGCCTAGGTGCCCCTCAATAGAAGAATGGTTAAAAAAGGTGTGGAACATATATACATTAGAGTTTTACTCGTCGGTAAAAAACAATGACATCTTGAATTTTGCATGCAAATGGATGGAAATTGAAAACGCTTTACTGAGTGAGGTAAGCCAGACCCAAAAAGAGGTACACGGTATGTATTCACTCATAAGTGGATTCTAACCATAATTAAAGGTCTTTGAGCCTATTATTCGTGATCCTAGAGAAGCTAAATAAGAAGATGAACCTGATGAAGATTATTTAGCTATCCACCAGGAGGTAGGAAATAGACATGAGTCCCAGGTAACCTCGGGTGCATGGGGGGGGTGGGAGGGTCGATGGAGGGGGAGAGGACTAGAGAGAAGGGAGTAGGGGAGGAACGGGGAAAGCTTGGTGGCCGGGGATGGGGGGGGGGAGGGAGGTAGAATGAATATGGGATCAGGGAGCCATTTTAGGGTTTACAGGAGACTTGATTATATATGGGATCCCAGGTCCAAGGAGAAATCCCCCAGATTGCTCTCTGGACAGAGGAGAGGGTGCCTGAATCGGCCGTGGCCCATGACCATACTGATGTATATTTTGCTTATCACCATAGATCCTTCGTCTGGCGAAGGACGGCTATGCAGTCGGAGGCCCACATTGGAGCACCGGATTGAGCCCCCCGAGGTCCGGAGGGGGAGCGGAAGGAGGAGGAACATGAAAGACGAAATCAGTACTGCGAGGGATGCTATCACCCACTGATACAAGAGAACGGATCTGATGAGAGTTTACCAGGGCCAGCCGGACTGGGACTGAACGAGGACGTGATCTAGCCAGATTCTCGGAATTTGGCCGGATTCTCTGACTGTGGCTGGCCCGGGGTCTTTCTGAAAAGCCATTGACTATGACACTGGGACCTGTTTCCTCTGCATATGCTGGATTTTGGGGATCCAGTCTGTTTGGATACTCACCTTCCTGGACCTGGAGGGAGGGGGAGGGAGCTGGAGCTTCCCACAGGGCAGGAAATCCTGACTGCCCTGGGGGACGGAGGGGAAGGAGGGGGGGAGTGGGGGGAGTGGGAGGGTGTTGGGAGGGGGGGCGGAAATGGAAACTTTTATAATTTAATAAAATTTACTAAAAAAAAAAAAGAAATAAAAAGCAAACATAACTATAGACACTGAGGAAAAATAGTGAAAATCAGGTCATATTTCAAAAACCTGTACTCCACAAAATTGGAAAGTTTAAAGGAAGTGGACAATTTTCTGGTACCACATACCAAAATTAAATTGAAACCAGATAAGCAATTCAAATAGCCTTATAACACCTAAGGAAATAGAAGCAGTCATCAAAATCTTTCAACTAAAAAAAGTCCAGGGTCAGATGGTTTCAGCACATAACTCTACCAGAATTTCAAAGAAGAGCTAATACCAATGCTCCTCAAATTGTTCCACACCATAGAAACAGAAGGAACATTGCCAAGCTCTTTATTTAAGAGGCTATAGTTACCCTGATACCCAAACCACACAAAGATGCAGCTAAGAATGAGAAGTACAGCCCTATCTCACTCATGAAAATTAATATAAAAATGGTCAACAAAGTGCTGGCAAACCAAATCCAAACACATATCAGAAGAATTATCCACCATGATAAGGTAGGCTTCATCTTAGAGATACAGGGATAGTTCAAAATAGGAAAATCTGTCAATGAACTCCATCATATAAATAAGCTGAAAGAAAAAAACCCCACATGATTATTATGATCATTAGATGCCAAAAGAGCCTTCAACAAAGTCCAGCTACCCTTCGTGATAAAGGTCTTCGAGAGATCACGGATACAAAGAACATATGTAAACATAATAAAGGCAATATACAGCAAGTTAACAGCAAACATCAAACTAAATGGAGAGAAACTCAAAGCGATTTCACTAAAATCAGGAGCAAGACAAGGCTGTCCATTCTTTCAATATCTATTCAATATAGTACTCAAAGTTCTATCTAGAGCAATAAGATAACAAAAGGAGATCAATGGGATTCAAATTGGAATGGAAGAAGTCAAACTTTCTCTATTTTCAGATGCTATAATAGTATACATAAGCTGTAGGAGCCTACTCCTACAAAATCAGCAAGGGTACCTGGAGTAGGGATCCTCAAGGCCAAAGGAAAGTCAGAGGAAAGAAGATGAGCCAGAAAACAGGATAGAATCAGGAGGTCTGTCTGGCAGCTTGTTGGTCAAACCAAGCATCCAAAGAGCCCAGAGTTTATTTCAGAACTTGCTTATATGCAAAGGCAGAAGAAAGCACAGCACAGATGGTCAATCAGTATCTAAGCACAAACCATTCCTGTCTTTGAGTAAGAAGTCTCTTATCTGACATGTGCTTGCTGCTTGGAAGCAGCCTCACTTTCTATCTTGATGTTCCTGAGGTTTGGCGTTAGCAGTATACTTTCTACCAGATATAGTGTTGTTTTCTCATGGACTAAATCAAAAGTCTCTCAAAGCCCTTAAGGTTATTGGAAAAAGTAGAGTAGGCAAGCTTGTACTCAAAAGACATAAGACAGAATGGATTCCAGATGGAAACTGAGTCAGACATGTTCCTAAAAAATTCTAACAGGGCACCACTCAGCTTATAAACACATTAAGTAATGTGACAGGAGATAAGATTAATTCAAAAACATTCAGTAGCTCTCATATATACAGATGACAAATAGAATGAGAAAGAAATCAGAGAAACCTCATCCTTCACAATAGCCACAAATAACATAAAATTTCTTGGGCTAACTCTCATCAGGCAAATAAAGGTCTTTATGACAAGAACTTGAAGTCTTTGAAGAAAGAAACTGAAGAAGATATCAGAAAAAATGGAAAGCTATCCCATGCTCTTGTATAGGTATGATCAATATAGCAAAAATAGCAATCCTACCAAAAGCAATTTACAGATTCAATGCAATTCCCATCAAAATCCCAGCACAATTCTTCACAGTCCTTGAAAGAAAAATACTAAACTCCATATGGAAAAACAAAAAATCCAGAAAAACCCAAACAATCATGTATAATAAAGGAATTTCCAGAGGCATCACCATCCCTGACTTCAAGCTCTACTATAGAGCTACAATAATGAAAAATCTTGATATTGGTACAAAAACAGATGGGTGGATCCATGGAATTGAACAAAAGACCCTGATATTGATCCACATACCTATGAACTGGATCCATACACTATGATCCTATAACTGGATGTCAACATGTAGAAGAATCCAAATAGATCCATATCTATCCCCATGCACAAAACTCAAGTCCAAGTAGATCAAAGACATCAGTATAAATCCAGCCACACTGAGCTTCATAGAAGAGAAAGTGGGAAATAGCCTTGAACACATTTGCACAAGAGAACACTTCCAGTAGGACAGATACTGAGATCGACAGTTAGTAAATAGGACTTCCTGAAATTGAGAAGCTTCTGTAAGGCAAAGGACATAGCCAACAAGACAAAAGGCCAGCCTACAGAATGGGGAAATCCCCTGATGTGGGATTTCCCTGTGTATGCTGTGATTACCATTGATTAATAAAGAAACTGCTTTGGGCCTATAGTCATGCAGAACAAAGCTAGTTTTGAATGGTAATGCAAGTTATGGTAGAAAGTAAATTAGGTACAAAACTTTGGACCAAGATAGAATAGATAATGGAGTATTTTCTCTATATTTGTCAAATGCAAATGGACTAGACATTGTTGATATACTTATTACCTGTATGTATTATATATAGTTATTGTACTTATTGCATATAGTTTTTCTTATATAAGTTATAACTTTTTTATATTAGACAATAGGGGAAATATTGTGATATTTTGTTTGTGATCTAGCAAATAAAGCTTGCCTGAAGATCAGAGTGCAAGGTAGTCACACTAGCTATCCACAGAAATTGAGCAGTGGTGGTGTACACCTTTAATACCAGCACTAGAGAGGAATATAAGGCAAGATGAGGCAGGAACTCGCTCTCTTTTCAGTCTGAAGATTTCATAGAGGTAAGAGCTCTCTAGTGGCTTGGTTGCTTTTCCTTTCTGATCTTCAGCTTGAACCTAATATTTATCTCGGGGTTTTTATTATTCATATTACACTTACCTTCGCATCTGAATTCATAGTCCTCAGGTACCCATTTATCAAACTTCTTCTTTGAGATCTGAAAGTTTCTCCAAGACTCACAGTCTGTGATAAATAATTCCAAGTCTTCTGTCCATTCAAGAGACTGCATGTTGGGCATGCTTGAGGATCTGTACAATGAGGAAGGATGGCCTATGGGAAAGAGACTGTGGTTGTGTGTTTGTCGAAGAGGCAGTGGTAGAAGCCAAGCAAGCAAGGCTGGGGTCCTTCCTGTTTATCCTCATACCTTTGTCTGTAGTCTCATGGGGAGAAAGACACTCTTACAAGTGCTGCTGAGAAACAGTTCTGTTCTGGAACTATGAAGTTCGCACACCTGCCCTGGTTCTACACTAGTGCTCTGTGGGAGTCCCTATTCCTCTCTGAGCCTCAGCTCCCTCCTGTGGGCCTCTAAGTTTCTGTTCCACATGGTTACAAAGTATAATAATAAGATTAGCAGCAATTGCTTAGGTTTTTGCTGGTAAGTATTGAACATTTATTGGATATTAGATTATTTAAAATCTTATGTGGATTATTATTTTACTCCCACAGCTCTGGAAGACTGCTGTTTACCTTACCATTTCCCAGATAGAGATATTGAGGGAGGCCATAATCTGCCTCTGCCCAGCTCTAAAGTCTGGATTTGTAATTTCAGTCACTTAGTGCTTCTCTTGGGAGCTGGCTTGAACCCTGTGGGAGCCCCCCCCCCCACCTCTCTCTGTCTGTCTCCCCTCTTTCATTTTTTTGAGACAGGATTTCTCTGTAGCTTTGAAGCCTGTCCTGGAACTAACTCTTATAGACCAGACTGGCCTCGAACTCACAGAGATCTGCTACCTCTGCCTCCTGAGTTCTGGGATTAAAAGTGTGTGCCAACACCACCTGACTATGTGTGAGCATTCTCAGAGCCCATTTGAATGACTGCCTCTCCCCACTACGCATCTAACTGTTTCTCCCCAGGGTTGTCAGGACCACATGAGGGCATGAAATTAACTGATGTAGAAGACCATATGTGGCTTAGCCTTATGCAAGGCTTCCTGTTCCAGACTCTCCACAGAATGTGAATACAGGCTAAACAGAAGTTTAGCCTGCCCATGGAAACCCTGAAAGGAGGGCTCAGTGGTGATAAGGGGTCACAGAAAGGGTGGGTTGGGGTCTTACTTACTTAACATCAAATCGTCCTGTGACAGATAATGTGGACTTGACACCTTCAGGCTCTTCAGTCTCCTAACGTTGTGGGAGGGGTTCAAGACTTGATGACCCTTATGCTGAGCCTCCTCTATGCCAAGGACCTTCTGAGAGAAAGCTCTTCCTATGTTGGTAGTACCTTCAGATAATGCTTGGCTGTGCAACTCTTGTCCATACAGCTTCAGCTCTCCCTTCTGTGGCTGTTCCAAGCAGGAGGCCGGTGGATTTTTGCCTCTGCCAGCCATTATGTGCTGGGAAAGGGTGTTTGTCTGGAGCTGACAGAGGAGAGCTGGAAATAAAAGAAAGAGTGGAGCAGCCTCTATAGGGACAAATTGTCCTTTGGTCAGAACAACTGAAAATCTCCAGTCTGTCCTGGGGATGGAGACTGTGTGTTCAGATGCAGAGCTTGGGCGTTATAGGTCAGCAGAAGGAGCTCTGCAGAGGAATGTTATCTATCATTGGATGTGTTCCTTATAGTTTCATGAATGACGCCAGCGGATGTTCTTTTGCTGTGCTGACTTTCCTGTCATGCAGGGGTGCTGTTATGCCGAATAGGGGGACTCTCAGCTTTTCTAAGTTTTCCTCTTTTACGTCATTAAGGTCATTTATCTGACCCTGAGGACAGATAAAAAGAAGAGGTGTAGTCTCTTCTTGACTGTTTCCTGTGGGAGGGGGATGATGGAGGTGGGGGTAGGCTCTTTCCCTAAAGTTTAAGAAGACATAGGTTGTGGGGGGACTTCATGAACCAGGAGAAGAGTTTTAACTTGGTCTGCCACCATGGATCCTGGGGTTATGGTCATTCACTCCTGGAGAAACCTGTGAAAACAGTTATTAGACAGAGGTTACAGTGAGTAAAATGAGACCGATGACTGGGGACCCAGTGAATTCCAGGTCAGGGTAGTCATTGTCCTAATGTAATTTGATCTAGGAGGAACTTGTGTAAAACTTTTAAAAGACATGGTAAATTGGGGGTGTGAGTATAAGGAGGAATGGAGAGATCAATGGGAGGAGCCAGAGTGGGAGGGAACAAAAGCCCATCCTTAGTAAGATGACTGTCACTGAATCTTTGTCTGGTCCTTAATTAAGTCTTGGGCCCTCTCGACCAGCTTGGGTTGTTGGTGCAGAAGCAGCGCTGTCCCTGGAGGAGAGCACAGTTCCCACCACCAGCAGCAGACAGGACATCTAGGTCTCTAACTTTGGAGAACCACAGCAGCAAAGACTTGGCCCAGGCCTAGCCATGGAAAGTGATGGAGAAGGGGGAGTGGGAAGGTGGCATCTGGAGAGTGGAGGGTGGGGAAATGTAGGGGATGGGAAAGCAAGAGGATGGAAGGATGCAGGACATGGAGCATGACAGCTGGGAGGAATAGAGGATGGAAATCAAGGGAGAAGGGTTGGGGAATGGGGTTAAGGGTGTTGGTATTACAGGGACAGGAGCTGAGAGGATAGGAAAACAGGGATGGAGTGTGCAGGGATGGAGTGTGCAGGGATGGAGTGTGCAGGGATGGAGGGTGCA